CTTCTGACCTCTCAGACCACAAAGTTGGTGTTGAGTAGTGTCCTTTTATTTCTTGTTTGTTTGGTTTTACAATTATACAAATTATATAATTTACAATTTACAATTACAAGCAACTCCTCCTTGCCCAGCTTGATAAGTCTTCTGATCCAGCTGCTCCTCAAGTACCCTGGGAGATCATAAAGAACTTAGTGAACACATTCCGCACACATTTGGAGAACATGTGTCCAGACTTGCCTGCCCTGAACTCTAGACTCATACATCTGCCTGCACTGCACTAAAATAACAGTGGCTTTAACATCATAGAGGTGTATTTCTCTCCCAGGTAAGTAGGCGGTCCAGGGGCTAGCATGCCAGCTCCACAGTCCTCTTTGTTTTTGATTTACTGTCCTCGTCACAGAATTTCTACCTCATGGTCTAAAATGGCTGCTCCAGCTATGCCATCACATCTGTCTTCCAGCACAGGGAAAAAAAAAAAAGTAGAAAAGGAAAGAAATAGCAAGTTCCCTCCCTTCAAGGATGTTTTCTGGAAGTTACCTCCCCCATCCCCACTTTGCTCCATTGGTCATAACTTATGTAGACTCAGCAGCAACCATGTGACCAGCTAAAATCCTGGGGTGGTGTTGTTGAGGAAGAAGATTTGGGGGACTACTTAGCAGTCCCTGTCAAAAGAGCTAAATCCTCATTTCCTGGAGTAGGATGTGCATCAGGATGTCTGAAGTAGATAAAGTACATAAGCATATTGTTAGAAATATGAAGGCAAATACTAGAAAAAATGGCTAAAATGGTTGAGAGTAGTTATCTCTCAGAAGTAGAAGTCAAGTAGGGCAGGGGACAAATGTTTTGCATATGAAGACTAGCAGTACGATTTGACTTTTCCAGTGAAGAACATACTTATTTCGATAATAGTTAAATTTGAAAAGTGCTGTTTGAAGCATTGGCTGAGGACAGGCCTTTGAGGATATGTAAGGACCATGGGTGAGTTTTCTCTGCACAGTCTTGGTGCTTGTTTCTGTGTTCACACTTTTCCAGCTGTCTCTGTGTCTAAGCTCTTCATGGTTTATGCAGAGGTGGTGGTATATGCATGAATATTGTCAAGTGTTGGAGGATCAGGTTCACGACATTTGGCTACTTGCAGTTCCCCCATTTTTTCTGTTACTAAATTAGGGCCCATGGGTATAAAATAGTGATAAGGCATGGACTCCAGACTCGCTGGAGCCATGATCCCCTGAAAGTATTGCACTGACGTAATGTTTAAACCTTAAACCAAAATTATCCCCTGAAGTCTTCTTAAAACCAAACAATAATCTAGCTTCATTTGTAAAAAATGTCTGCCTTGAGCATTATACTCTTTTAAGAACTGTCTATATGGGATCACAGTGACAGTAGCAACTTGAAAGATTAAATAGGAACCTTAGGGGCATGGAATTTGTTAGTGGGGAGACATAAGTCAGAAAAGGAGGGTGAGAATGGAGACAGAACTGGAAGAATTGTACGTGCAGGAGCAGTCGAATTGGTGTCTGTTCTGCTGTGTGTATTCTCAACAGCAACAACAAAGTAAGTTCTCTGTATATTTATATAGAGATGAGGCATTAAATATCTTTGCTTAGGTGTTTTGTCTTACTTTCCTGACCTGGGTTGATTTATAATCAGCCTGTCCAGGAAGTGTGTCCTCGTTGGTGGCTTCCGTCCTCACTTAAGTCCCTTTTCATCTCTGGATGTTGTGACAGGGAGGAGAGGCACCATGAACTGCTTATTTAAAATACACGCACACCGAGACCCAGAACAAGAGTAAAGGGAGATGGACCTGAGGCTGCAGAATCTCCCAACAGCCTGGTGGGAGGAAACTAGAAGGATACTTTTCTGCTGATCAAAAAGAAAGGAGGGAAAAAAAAAAAAAAAACCCACCAAGATTGTGCACCCAAATTGTGAGACTTGAGAAATGGTTACCTGTTTTTCATGAGAAATGCATCAAGCTTTACAGTTCCAAACCTTCTTGGGTTTTGTTTGTTAAATATTTAGGCCAAGAGGAATGGTTGGTAATGAGAGACAAAAGGTCTGAAAAGGAAAGCAATCATTGGACTTGTATTTAATCACTTCTTATTTTCTCAGCTCTCAGTCATGTCATTGTTGGGCTATGGTGCTTCCATAACTTAATTAGGGAGTTCAGACAGCAATGGGAATAAGAGGGCAAAATGAAGGCTAACAATTTAAAATGGATCACCTGCTGATTTGTGGCATGGATGGAGATGAAGCCGATTAAGGACCTAATTCTGGAAGAAGCCCTTGACTCTCATCATTTGTGAAAAGGAGAGGTTTTTGTTTTTGTTTTTCTTACTCATATACTGCAGTTGTGTACACTTAGATCTACAAACCTTAAGCATTGTTACATCTGATCATCAGTTTGTGGAATTACTAACAGCGAGACACTTTGAAAGAGCAGACAAGGTTATTAACTGCAGCAGGAAATGAGAATTTGGTTTTAATATACATGTGAAATTGAATTGTCTGTAGCACAAAGCTGTGGAGATTACCCATGCAAAATGAGAAAACTATCTAAATTTAAAATTGTCCTCAGTACAGTGAAAAGTAATTTTGCAAGCTGCGTTTTTACTGCATTGAAATCCGTGAAGAGATTGGCTCTATTAATTTAGATTTAAACATAGGCTCTGTGTCTTCTAAAAATGGTAAATGAGATGGAAAATGTACTTTAAGGGGAAAAATGAGTTTCTAGAAATGCTGCAGGCAGGCAGGTTCTCTATTCCACGTTTCTGAGTCTGCTCTGAGACCAGGCAGCTTCGGAAAGAAGGCTCTAGCTACTGTGACAGACATTTGGAATAAGGACAAACAGTGCCTCAGTTACCCAGGCTTCAGGAGTAGCATGTGGGGCCAACAGAGGGAGGCCCAAACAGAAATCATTGGCGGCTTTTATACTGTCACTCCCCAGGTTGCTGGATCCTCAGCAGAGAAAACAATAAATTGAGGAGTTGAATATATTTTCTTATATAAAATAACTTTAATAGTTTTCTCATACTTCCTGCCTGGAATGATACCAGAGTGTGGATTTGATTCAGGCAGTCCCCAGGTTACGAACGAGATCCATTCCTGTCTTTAAGTGGAATTTGTAGGTGAGTCAAAATAGGTACATATGGTTCTTACTTAGGCTTCCTTACTGTAGTGCAAGAAATGGCTCGAAGCCTTGTCTATGATTTCAAAGCTGCACAAGCAACAAGTGAAGGTGATTGTGATGAAGAATTTGTTGTGAGTAGGGATTGGTTCCACTTTTTCAAAGTGACAGCAAATTTATATAACATTAAAAGGCGAGTTGGAGTCATCCCTACAAGTAGTTCATTTGTAACTAGGGGCTTCCTATACTCTAGCTACCTTTTCACACAGGAAATAATCTTTTATATAAAAAGAAACTGAGTTTTTCATCCCCTAGTCAACAACAGCATGTTTAGGAGCTCTGGTAGTATAGTGCCTAAGACACTTGACTGCTAACCAAAAGGCTGGCAGTTCAAACCCACCAGCCACTCCTCGGCAGGAAGGTTGGGCAATCTACTTCCGTAGTGAAGCTGCCTCAGAAACCCAAGGAAGGGTTGCTATGAGTCGGGTCCAACTCAACAGCACACAACAACAAGAACAGTGTAAATTTAACTCAAAAGAACAAAACATTTAAAAAAAAAAATTAATTTGTTACTCATTAACTAAGTAAGTGAGTATTTGGTATAAGGCACTTGACTTCTAACCAGAATGCTGACGGTTCAAACCCACCAGCCACTCCTTGGAAGGAAGATGGGGCAATCTACTTCCGTAGTGATACTGCCTCAGAAACCAAAGGAGGGGTCACTGTGAGTCGGGTCCAACTCGATGGCACATAACAAGAACAACATTTATTTGGAACCATAGTTTGATGACTTATTTAACCATTAAGGAGAAGACATTAACAAAATAGCCAGTAAGCAACAAGGATAAATATTAAACTGTCTCCTTTTTGTTAAGTGCCTTTGGGTCAGTTCTGATTCATAGTGACCCTGTGTACAACATAACAAAACACTGCCTGGTCCTGTCCCATCCTCACAATCATTGCTATGGTCGAGCCCATCATTGCAGCCACTGTGTCAGTCTGTCTCTTCAAGGGTCTTCCCTTTTTTTGGTGACCCTCTATCAAGCATGATATCCCTCTCCAGGGACTGGTCCTTTCTGACAACATGACTAAAGTGCATGAGACAAAGTCTGGTCACTCTCACTTCCAAGGAACATTCTTGCACCTCTTTAAAGACGGATTTGTTTGTTCTGGCAGTCCATGGTATTTTCAGTATTCTTTACCATTTTCAGTATTCTTTACCAATACTGCAATTCAGTGGCTTCAGTTCTTCTTCTTTGGTCTCCTTATTCATTGTCCAACCTTCACATGCATATGAGGCGATTGGAAATGCTGGCTTGGGTCAGGCATACCTTGGCGTGGGTTTTCAAAGTGATATCTTTGCTCTTTAACACTTTGAAGAGGTCTTTTGCAGCAGACTTGCCCAGTGCAGTATGTCATTAGCTCTCCTGACTGCTCCTTCTGTGGGTGTTGATTGTGGACCCAAGTAAACAACTTCTGTTTTTTCTCCATTGGTCATGATGTTGCTTATGGGTCCAGTTGTGAGGATTTTTTTTGTCTTTCTGTTGAGCTATAATCCATTCCAAAGGCATATTTGAGCTGCATCATTAAAGTTCTTATTATTAAGAGTTGTAACGATGGAGGAAACTGAGGACACGGAAGTGATTTACCTATTCCTGGTCCTGAGAGCTGCTTAGTACAGAGCTGGCTCTTGAACTCAAGTTACCTGAACTTCCAGATAAGTTATATATTTGCTATCGTTATCAAAAATCAACCCTGCCAGGTAGGTGACACATCAGGATAACACAGCCATCTGCTCTTTCCTGTCTTTTCCCTTCCTACCCCCATTGCTCCCCATACAGTGATAAGAGAGACCTCGTTTTCTTTTGTTTTTCAGGTATTGCTGTGCTTTACTTACACCTCTACGATGTGTTTGGGGACCCTGCCTACCTGCAGATGGCACACGGCTATGTAAAGCAGAGTCTGAACTGTCTGAGCAAGCGTTCCATCACCTTCTTGTGCGGGGATGCAGGCCCTCTCGCAGTGGCCGCTGTGCTGCATCACAAGATGAAGAATGAGAAGCAGGCAGAGGACTGCATCACACGGTAATCATCTGCCTGTCCGAGGATGATTGTCTAGACATTGGGAGGCATTCATTCTCCATGTGTAGCCAAAGAACAGTCGAGTGAGTTTACTACTTTTCTCCCCACAGATAAATCTTACTGCTGTCATTTGATCAGTTCTCCTGTTATTCCAACATTATTCATTATTAAGGAACAACTATTATCATCCCTATTTTATTGCAAAATGTAGTGATGCTGACATGTTCCAGACCAAACATCAGTTCAGCAATAGAAATGAGATCGAAAGGCTGATCATGCGATTAATAATCTCAAGTGCTGTCCAAGATCAGTCTTTTAAAAAATAAAAATGCAGTTCATTTCCTGATGGTGGCCAGGGAGAGAGGCCTGTCTCACAAGGGCTACAGACTGACTTAAAACTGCCTTTCTTTGGGGCAGATGATGTGTAAATCCAGATTTTCTATTTTAATATAAATAAGGGCTGCCCACCAGAAGCGTGTGAATTATGAAGAGTTACTAAGTGTTGGGACTATGACACTGTAGTTATCGCCTGACTGAGGCAGTGGCGGTTGAGTGGTGGAATTTTTCCTTCCATGTGGGAGATCCGAGTCCAGTGCCCAGCCAGCCGGTCCCCCTCAGGCACAGCCCCTCCTGATTGTCTGCGGAGATTGGGGCTGCGATGCCGAACAGGTCCCAGCGGAACTCCCAGACTAAGACATTCTAGGAAGGGGCCTGTGGATCTGTTTCCAAGGATCAGCCAGTTAAAACCCTGTGGCTCACAGTGGTCTGAGCCCCAGCTGGTCATTGAGACACTTAAGGACCGGGCCGTGCTTCATTGAGTTACATGTGGGGTCCCACTGAGGCGGGGTCCGACTCGACCACAGCTGACAACCGCGTCCTTAGAAGAGTTTCTTGAGCAGCATTCTAGGAAAAAATCTGCCTGCCTAAGAATCTACATGCTGTGTTGGTTGGCTCCCACCTGCCAAGCTGGCACACAGTGAGTTATAATTCCGGCAACGTTTTAGTTAGTGTTTGTCCCCGAGTTAAAAGGAGCCCTGGTGGCGCAATGGTTAAGCACTCAACTAACGGAAAGGTCAGAGGTCGGAACCTAGCTGCTCTGTGAGAGAAAGATGTCGCAGGGTGCCCCAATAGAGAGTACAGCCTTGGAAACCCTACAGGGCAGTTCTGCTCTATCCCGTGGGATCCCTCTGAGTTAGAATCAACTCGATGGCCACAGGTTTGGTCTCTGAGTTGACCATGGTTTTTGATGCTCACCGTTCTTTCTTATAAATTACTGTTACAATAGCGTTAGCATAACCAGTGTAGTGTTTTGAGAATTCTCTGGTTAATCTTTTTTTGTGTTGTGTTATATATTTGTATCAATTGGTTTTGGGCCTAAAATTCTAATAACTGCACTTCTAAAATAATGATTGTGTTGTATTTACAGAAGGAATCATCTACACCTTTGTTGTTTAGACAAATATATCAAACTCTCTGTCCTCCCATCAATTTTTGTTCCATACAGTATTTTATAACTAACTTCTTTTTCCATTGGAAACTGTAACAAGAGGAGGGTGTGGGAGAGCAGGCCAAGGAGTCTTTTGGTCTACCTAGAATGATTTGTGAATTGTTATGTTAGATCATGTTGCCTCCTTTCCTGAATTGATTATACTTCACAGTACCCATTTTCATATATGCCTGTGCTACAACTATCAGAGGTTAGAAATTATACAGTACACCTTTTAAAAGAAAACTTACCTAGTATATCTGGAGGGAAAAAAAGAACATTTTGCTCCGTGGCTGGGGAAGCATTTATAACAAAACTTGTCACTAAGTTTGACCAAAGTGGCAGCTAAAATAAGAGAGTGATTTCCCTGAGGGTCTAATTAACATGTATGACTTCCATAGTAGTCATCTTGCATTAAGACCAGCCAGTACAACAAGAGAGACTCATTCATATCATCTAGATTTGAAACACAGAAACTAATAGTTGCATTTTTTTGCTTAGCCATTTAGCACTTAGCCCCACATCTGAAGTAGGGGTCTACAGCAAAGTAGGATTCAATGAATCACTCCCAAGTATCATAAAAATAAATTTAAATGGTCCCAGTATTTCATATGTAATACCAAACCGAAACCAAACACACTGCCATCAAGTCGGATCCGACTCATAGCGACCGCTCCTTGGGTTTCTAAGGTGGTATCACTATAGAAGAAGATTGCCAAACCTTCTTTCTAAGGAGTGACTGGTGGGTTTGAACCACCAGCCTTCTGGTTAACAGTCTAATGCCTTAGGCACTACATCACCAAAGTTCCTTATATAATACCAACCTTTCCTAAAATATGTGATGCCAAATAGTAACAGTTTGCTATGGGAAGAATGTTAATAGGTATTAAATGGAAAAAAGTGTGTTCAAACAATTTAGGAAAACACTGATTAGACAGAGTTAAAATTGTGTCTTTACTGCAAGGCTGCTCCATCCTCAGTAGCCTGTATATGTTGGGGAAAATAAGGACACTCGGGAGCAGCATTTACTTTTTAAGGCATCTTGATAACCTATGAGAAGAGCTCTGGTGGTGCCATTGTTAAGACATTCAGCTGCTAACCAAAGGTCAGTGGTTCAAACCCACCAGCCGCTCCATGGGAGAAAGATGAGGCATTCTCCTTCTGTAAAGATTTCCAACCTTGGAAATCCTGTGGGCAGTTCTACTCTTTCCTGTAGGGTCACTGGGAGCTCTGGTAGCATAGTGCCTAAGACATTTGACTGCTACCCAGAAGGCTGGTGATTTAAACCTACCAGCCACTCCTCGGAAGGAAGGTTGGGCAATCTACTTCCGTAGTGATACTGCCTCGGAGATCCAAGGAGGGGTTGCTGTGAGTCGGTGATGGCAGTGGGTATAGGGTCACTGTGAGGTGGAATTGACTCAGTGGCAGTGGGTTTGGTTTTTTTTATTTTGAGGGCTATTGTTCTCATTGGGAAATGGTTCCATATATCAAATTGGT